AGATAGATAGATAGATAGATAGATAGATAGATAGATAGATAGATAGATCCAGCATGGGTCTGTCCCTTCCTCTTATTCATGGGAAGATGGTATGTGGTCTCTGAATGTGGTAGAACTGAGAGAGAGAGATCCAGCATGGGTCTGTCCCTTCCTCTTATTCATGGGAAGATGGTATGTGGTCTGGGAGTGTGGTAGAACTGGACTCCTGTTGACTGTCACCCTGCGTGGCTCTGTGGCCAAATACCTATAAAAGTAATTAGACTCAAGTTACTGGTCCTGAAAATGTAAAAAAAAAACAAAAAAACAAAAAAACTCAAGCATTTTTTCTTTTTTAAGTATAAAGTGTGTATTTAAATGAGATTTATTAATTTTGTGTTTTTTTATTGGAGTTTTGCCTGCATATATGCACCACGTGTGTAATTGTTGCCATATACACCTTCTGTGCTTGTTACCCGTAGATGTCAGAAGAGGGTATCACATGTCCAGGAACAGAAGTTATGGGTGGTTCTGAACCACCATGTGAGTAATGGGAATCCAACCCAGACCCTCTGCAAGAGTCAAGAAGTGATTAACAATGGATTTATCTTAACAGCACCCGATTCAGGTGTCTTCACCCTTAAGTCTCATGCTACCCTGTCCCCTCTCCCTTTGTGACCTATTGCATTTTCACTTCCTCTTCTTCTTTTATTTGTGGGGTGGGAGAAGTGTCAAGAAAGTGTTTCTCTGTGTATCCCTGGCTGTCCTGGAACTTGCTCTATAGACCAGGATAGCCTTGAACTCAGAGATCTGCCTGCCTCTGCCATGAAAGCCCAATACTCTCTGGGATAGAGAGATAGTTAAGTGGTTAAGTGTACTCAGAGGACGCTAGTTCAATTCCCAGCACCAACATGGTGGTTCACAGCCATCTATAGCTCAAATACCAAGGGAATCTGACATCCATGGACACCAAGCACACATGTAGTACACTAATATACACGCAGATATTACATTCATATACATAAATTAAAAATAGTAAGTTATTTTTTAGAAGAAAAGAAACCAGATGTTCTACAAGACAACAAATGAAGGAAGGAGGAAGGGTGGAGGTAAGGAGAAAGAAAGACACAGAAATAGAGGGAATAGGAGAGTAATATGTGAAGAAATGACACCTGGGGATTTTCCAAATGGATAAATGATATCAGCTCATAACTTAGGAAAGTCTAAATGGGATGATTAAAAACACATTTTTGTGAGGTTTATTTTTATCGTGAAGGCATGCTGAGTTTTCCTGATGCCGTTTCTGCATCTGTTGGAGTGATATGATTTATGACCTGTATTCCATTCAGGTGATGGAGTCCACTTATCCATTTGCAGGATGTGTTGAAGCAGTTTTGCTTTGCCTCACCTAAGTGGGGTGACAGGTGATGCCCGACATTTGTGGAAGGTCTGGCTTGGTTCTCTGTAGACGACTAATACAAAGAAAGAACCCAGATGTCCTTCAACTGAGGAATGGATTCAAAAAATGTGGTATATTTACACAATGGAGTATTACTCAGCTATTAAAAACAATGAATTCGAGAGGTTCCTAGGTAAATGGATGGAACTAGAAATTATCATCCTGAGTGAAGTAAGCCAATCACAAAAGAACACACATGGTATTCACTCACTGATTATTGGATATTAGCCCAGAACCTTGAAATGCCCAAGATGCAACTCACAGGCCACATGAAGCCCATAAAAAAAGGAAGACCAAGTGGGGGTGATTCAGTTCTTCTTAGAATGAGCAACAAAATACTCAAAGGAGCAAATATGGAGACAAAGTGAGGGACAGAAACTGAAGGAGGGGCCATCTGAAGACCATTCCACCTGAGTATCTATCCCATGTGCAGTCACCAAAGGTAGATGCTGATGTGGAAGTCAGGAAGTGCATGCCGATAAGGGCCTGATATGGATGTCTCCTCAGAGGTCTTCAAGAGTCTGACATATTCAGAGGCAGATGCTCACAACTAGCCATTGAACTGATCATGAGGTTCTCAATGGAGGAGTTAGAGTGAGGACTGAAGGAGCTGAAAGGGTTTGTGGCACCATGAGGGGAGCAACAATACCAACCAACCAGAGCTCCCAGGGTCTAAACCACCAGCCTGGGAGCACTTAGGGAGGGATCCAGGGCTTCAGCTGAATAAGTAAGAGTAGAGGGCCCTGCCGGGCACAGGTGGAAGATGAGATCCTTGATGAAGGCTGGATGCCCCAGGGGGTGGGAATTTTGAGGGTGGGGAAGTGGGAGTGGGGGGGGTAGATAGAGGTTACATCCACAGAGAAGAAGGAGGAGGGGTGAGGGGATTGGGGGTTCCTGGGTGGGTGGGGGATGGGGTAAGGGGATAACATATGAAATGTAAATAAAACATCCAATGAAAAAAAAACCAAAAAAACAAAGGAAGCTCAGCAGCCAGACAAGTCAGCAAATTATGCTCCTTAGTCACAAGGGACAAAGCTATCCTTCCCAGTTAGGAAAGGCTGTCAATTGGGTTACTCATTATGTCTATGACACCAACTGGCTTATTCTGAGCGCACACAGGGTGATTATTTGGGATCCTTGGTCTCCCAAGTTAGAAGCTATGCTCTGAAGTTAGACAGGTTACCTGTTTGGCTGTTTGCTAGGTGAGGCCATAGATAGGCACTGAGCCAGGTGGGGTTACTTTCTGCTTAGTTAGGTAGAGCCAAATAATACTCTGCTATGAGGTACAGACAACATGTTGTCCTGGGGAGCAGACAGACAGGCTTTGTGACCACATTGGTTGCTTGATAGGGAGGACTGGTAAGTGTGTTCCCTTGGACAGATGGAGGCACAGGAGCAGAACAGCTGACTGGGCTCTCCCACCAAGAGTGCCACTGATAGTAGAGACACAGCTGTACCCCCATCTTATCATCCTGCCCCATTTGTTGTTTTTCTGTGCTCTGCTGAGTCATTCAGTGCTTTTCATTGAACAAGATAGATGGAGACCTCCCCCAGGGCACCTCAGAGTTCTGGGGAGCTCTATGTTTGTTTCTGGTTCCCCAGTACAGAGAGACCTTAGGTCCAGGGTCACCATCTTGGTAAGGCTAATCCTAGACTGAGGAGGGACAATGCAGTCAGAGCAAATGCTTCTTTTCCCTTCACACATGGCTTTGGTGGCCCATGGGAAAGGTTAGTCTCATCTTCCAGTTGCTGTGTTTGAGTCAGGGGGAGGTAGTTGCTGGTTGGTCATTCTGTGTTGGGCACTAAGTCACAGACATCCTGACATCAACAAAGATGCCTTCCTAACATAAGGTTATCTGTCACCATCTGGCATTCCTATTCAGACTGTGGAAACATCACTCAGGTAATCTCTTAGCTTGGTTTCTATGGCAGTAATAAAACACCATGAGCAAAAACAAGTTGGTAAGGAAAGGGTTTATTTGGCTTATAGTTCCGCATCATAGTCCATTCTTGAAGTCAGGGCAGGAACTCAGGCAGAAACCTGGAGTCAGGAATTGAAGCAGACACTGTGGTGGCATAGCTTACTGGCTTGTTCAGTTTGCTTTCTTATATATCCTAGAACAGCAGGTCCTGAGGTGGTGCTGCCCACAGTGACTGGACCCTCCCACATCAACCATCAATCAAGAAAGTGTCACACATACATGTCTAACAGGTGATAGTTATGGAAGTATTCTTTTCAACTGAAGTTCCTCTTTTCAAAGACTTTAGCTTGTGTCAAGTTGACAGAAATCAAATCAAACAAATTAAAAAAAAAACCAATCATGACACAATGTGTATTTGTTATTCAATTTTCATCTTTTGCTTGAAAGTGTATCCTGTCAACTTTCTCACTCTGTTCAGCCCTTTGAATGTCCACTTTCATTTTTGACAACTTTTGTAGTACAATTTATTTGCAGTAAAATTTATGCATCTGAATATAAATCCAATGACTTTTTACAGAGCTGTGCACCCAGCACCACAGTATGAGTGTAGGACATAGACCTCCCCTCTCCATAAAAGAACTCCTTCACAGCTATGGACAGTCCACTCTTGTCCCCCTTAGTCCAAGCAGCCACTAATACATCTGTCTGCATAGATTTCACTTCTTGGCATTTTGTAGAAATGGAATTATACATCATGTCACTTTTTGTGTTTGACTTCTTTCATTAAGAAACAAATATTTTTGAGATTCATTCAAAAATGAATGTATTAGCATTTTATCCCTTTTTATTACATAGTGATATTTCATTGCATAGATTTGTCCAGTGTTATTTCTCTACCCACCAATTAAGGGCCATTTCAATGGCTTCTATTTTTTGGCTACCAACAATACTTCCAGAAATATTTCCATATAATTTGGTGAGAACATTACTTTTCATCAATCCTGTATGGGAACAACTAGTAGTGGGATTTGAAAATCATAATTAGCATTGTGTTTAATTTTATTTTTTGTATGACTGTGGTCTGCAGTATATATGCATGCATACAAAAACATTCACATGTGTGGGAGCTTATGTCTGCGCAGATGAACATGGCTGTGTGCACACATGTGTGAGGAAGTCAGAGTCAATGCTGAGCTTCCTTTTCCATCAGTATCCATCTTATACAATGAGGCAGTGTCTCTCTCACTTGAACCCAGAGCTTCCAGTTCAGCTGTTGATGCATTGGGGCTAACTCAAGACATTTGTCCTAAGTGTGTTAGTTCTTCAAAGTCTTTCTTTCATATATAAAACCTTATAGTTTCCACAAGCATCTATTTTACTGATAACCATTTTCCCATGGTATTTTCCCCTCTAGGATGTCCATCGAACATGAGAGCACAGAGACATTTCCCTTTGAACTTATATTCCAGCACTTCAAGAGACAGAAAGTGATGATTTCTAATGCGATAAGAAGTACATTTCCTTTTCTTGAGAGCCTCCGAGACCATGGATTCATCACTGGTAAAATGTATGACGTAAATGAAATTCACTACATCATAGCCTAGTAAACATGCTCCAAATTAAGCTACACTCTGATATCCTGGATCCAAACTTCAAATCGTATGATTGACAGGTGTTTAAGGTTGGGCTTAATTTTTTAAAAAGATTTCATTTTTTAGGTTCATGTGTGTATTTATGTGTTCCTGTATGTGTATGAGTTTGTGAGTGTGTGTGTATGCATGTGTGTATGTATGTATGCATGTGTGTGCATTTTCATATAGGAGCTGATGCCACAGAGCCCAGAAAAGAGCTCCAGATTCTCTGAAATTGGAGTTGCAGGTAGTTGTGAGCCACCTGATGTAGGTACTGGGAATGGAACCCAAGTTCTCTGCAAGAGCTACACATGCTCTGAACCACTTAGCATCTCTCCAGCCCTAGAACTAAATTTTGACAAAGGAAGCTCATGGATTTTCATAGCACTTTGTAGAAGCATCAGTTACAATGTTAAATTCATCAATTATGAATTAAAATTAAAATCTTGGTTTCCTAGATCTGGTACCTATCATGAAGATATTTCTGGAAGTGTTTTTGCTAGGTATTAAGGGAGAAGAAAACCGGAGGCCTCAGTAGATGGGCCTGCTTCTATCTGAGAGAAGAGTGTCCTATGTCACATTCTGGCATCAGTGAGTATTGCTGAAGTCAAGCTAGATCAGAATGGGAGTTCTCCATGGATGAGCAATGGCTTGAACAATTCACACCATGTAATATAAACAATCTAAACTAAACTAAACTAAACTAAACTAAGGAAATAAGCTAAAACTCAAAGGTGGTTTTAATTAACTGTTCAATTAGTTAAATTAAATGGTCCTGATAAAATCTCAGGTAGTAGATTTTGTTTTAAATAAGTGTTTATTTTAAATACTTAGATTTGAGAACTATCAAGCCTACAGAGTGTCTTCCTAGGATGAAATTTTAAAAACTATTTCCAGTGTTCTTTTGCTCTCCAGTAGTGTTCACAATCAGAGGGAATGAATATCTCTTTTGCTTTGTGCTAAATGAGTGTTAAAGGGGAGGCCAGGACTTGTCCTGTCAACAGAACACCATTGGCTACCTGCCAAGTCTAGTCCAAAAGTAGTCTGACTATGAGATATACATTAGTTTGCCTTATTAAAAAAATATGTATTTATCTTTATTCTTTTGTGTCCACCTATTCTGCCTGGACCTATGTGTGCATAGCACTTGTGTGCCTGGTGTCTCTGGAGGCCAGAAACGAACACTGAATCATCACATGGAACTGGAGTTACAGATATTTGTGAGCTCTTGCGTTGGTGCTGGGAACTGAACTTGGGTCCTCTGCCAGAGCAGCAAGCACTCTCAACCACCACGCCATCTCTTCAGCCCCTCTACACACTTGAAAAACTATTACATTTATTGTTTATTTATTTATGAGCATGTGTGTGTGTGTGTGTTTCTATTGTATTGTCATATATGGACGAGTCACATGGAAAAGTAAGAAACCAATTGTGGCTAGTTGGTTCCTGCCTCCACCATCTGATTCCCAGGGATTGAATTTAGACTATCAGGATTGGTGGCAAGTGCTTCTGCTCATTGAGTGATCTCACCAGCCACATTGTTGACTTTTAACCCATGTTTCCCTTTCAAAGGTGGCCCTTCTTACATATATAAATGAGGATGGTAGCCTGAAGGTGCCAGTGATTACTTTCAAACAGAAAACCTTTACTTGTTATATGAAGTAGTCATGCAAATATAAACTTCTCCTTAGATGACATAATTGTTTGCCATGGCTCTTCTGTGACTTGGAAGCCTGCACTGAAATTTTCTCTATTCGATATTTTTATTCAAGGATTTGCAAGATTCTTGTAGAGCGCTGATCCCTGTAGACAGAGTGATCTACAGAGCCCTGGAAGAACTGGAGAAGAACTTTAAAATGGAGGTCCTGTGGGAATTGTTCAATGAGGTCAACATGGAGAAGTACCCCGGTTTGAAATTCATTTGAAAATGGTAATTGGGTTTAACATCGCCCCTTGAGAGCACAGTCCTTTTTGTTGTCAACAAACATATATTAAGCTTTTATCATGTGCCATATATCATGCAGGGCAGTTGAGGCTATAGCAATATGAAACTAATGCATCATGCACCCCCTGAAAACTTATGACTAATGGCTACAGTTGACACCCTCCAGAGCTCTGCTGCTGGGCATTTAGGCTCTCAGGACAATGGGAGGCATACCATCCTCAGGTTATGTAGAAGAGGATAGGATTAGAAGTGCTGGTTGTCAGTAGGGTAGCACTGTTGTGTCTCTTCAGTGGGAACCCTTATAACGATATACATGGCAGTACATGGTTACTGCCCTCCTTGAGTGACAGCTCAGCTGTGGATGCAGGATCCATCTTAGTGTAGCACCTCATGCTCATAGAAACCAATAATCTGTGAGCCAGCTCTTCAATCCCATCTCACCCATCTTCAAAGCTGCTGGGGCTTCCCTTTGGTATGTTCCAGATCCTAGACCTTTGATCCATGCAAACCTCCTGTTTCTTCTTACCATTGTGATACCCTGGAAGCCATGTTTTGCTTCTCTTTTTCCTGTTCTGATGTAGTCCTTTACTCCCCTCTGAACACTGTAATTGCAACATAGCTGACAGAGTTTCTTTTCCTTTTTTGTTCTTGACCTTGAGTGTTTCATTTCTGTGTGGACAACATAAAGTCAATTCTGGGAGTCTTCTCTCTCCCAGGGAATGATGGGTGAACCTTGTCATGGGAAGCCCATTGAACTTGGAGTGACTGGAGAGCTAGAAATCCCTAAATGTGTAATTGTGAAACACTGTCCCTTTTCCCTGCTAGAGATGTCTAATGGCTTCCTCTTCTTCTTCCCTCTCCCTCTCCTCCCACTTCAGTGTTCCCGAATGTATTGTGTTTCCAAGGAAGTGATAGAGGGGACCCAAACTCCCAGCTAAGTCTTGAACAAGGTAATTATAGCTGCAGAAAGTTTCTTATCTCCTCTGAGAATAGGAAATAAAGATTACCATTAGAAGAGTGTGAATCAGAAGAAGCAGAGACAGCAAGGCAGGCAGTGGGTATGAGCGTGGTGTTAACTTTCCTGTACTGGGACAAATTACCCAGGAGGAGCCGGACATGAAAAACCCTGAGGCAGGAGAATTGTGAGTTTGAGGCCAGCCAATTTACATAGGAAAACTCTCTCAAGAACAAAACAGAACCTGGACAGTCAATTTCTTTGGGTTCATGGATTTAGAGATTTTAGTCAAGATGGGTTGACCTCACCATTTAAGACCTATGGTGGGGCACAACATCAAAGCAACGCAAGACAAGAGAGGAGGTGTCTGTGGCCCTTCGAAGTTAGAGTCCTGGTGATCCACCTTCCTTCTACTGGGCTCTGCTGATTAATGGTATCACCAGAATCTGTTAGTATTATTCTGAGGGGCAGACATCTAATATATGTTCCTTTGAAGGGAGAGGCATCTGATAATCAATATTTGAGCATCCTCTAATGGGAATTAGAATAATGGCAGAGCAACCATGATATCAGGTGGTCATCCTGATACCCACGATGAAGGAATCTGGGCCCAGTGTTAGGAATCCAGACTGAAATAGACTGAGAACACAGAAATCACTGCAATTTAGACAAGCCCCTGAAGCAGATAATCCATTTTGAACTGTGGAGGTGAAGCACTATGGTCCATGGTAGCCTCAAAGCAGAAACGCTTTTTGAGAGAGATGCTCCTGTTCTTTGTGAGCCCTTATATCTCTAAAACCAGATGTGTGATGGGTGGGATTTTCCCATACCAATGAAGTCTGCAGACATCAGCAGGGTGTCTTATGATTTAATTAAATTCAGATAAGGTACTCAGTGTCATAAGGTGCTCCAACTCCTGAAATAATTGTCCTTCTTTGTCTCCTTAGGACCTAGTGGCAGCTGTTCTCAAGCAAGCCTGACCTGGTCACCCTTAGATCCGTCCTCATCTGAGGGTCCATTCTGTTGACTCTATAAGCATTGCTGTCTCATCCCATGAGTCTCAGTTTGCCTTTGTTGCAATGATGTAACACTACAACCAAAAGCAACTTGTGGAGGAAAGGGTGTAGTTCACCTTACAGAATGCTGCTTACTGGCTTGCTCCCCATGGCTTGCTCAGCCTGCTTTCTTCCCTATCTCAGGACCATGGACACTTGGTGACACTGCTCACAGTTGATTTCTGATTGCCATACACATGCTGTGGTGTACGTGTACTAAGCAACCAAGTGTAAAAAGTATAGAGGGGAAAAAGTATGAGCAGAAAAATAAAGGTAAACACAGATCCAGATCAAGAAATAGGGCCAGATGGGGATGACACGGAGAGAGGACAAATGAAGGGCAGAGTGGGCTGTGAGAAATGACAGAAATGAGCACATTACTTCCACTGAGAAGGGTCAGATGTCCCGTTAGCAAGATGAACCTGTGATCCCCCAGATACAGAGACCCTACTTTTCTCAGGCTTAATCACTGTACAAGATCCTAAACACACTGCCCAGGCCTGTCATCTTTCTTGGCTTATTTTTGCAAGTGTCTAAAGACCTACTAAAGACCTGAAGGATGTCTCTCTGTGGTGGCTTTTTTGCTGTCTTCTGCTTAATAATGTAAGAGATGACCCCCAACTTAGTGGCTCCTACAGCATATGGCACTGATTTAATTATAATTTTCTTGGGTCTCCAGCCTCCCCATGTGTGTGCATCCCAGGGAATTCAAACTCAGTTCCTCCCACTTGTGTGACAAACACTGACCCACTGAGTCATCTCTTCAGCCTGATGAGTTTCTGTTTCTGACTTGCCTTAGGCAGGATTCTCAGAAATACCAAATCTAAGGTTCTTAACACATGAATGAACCATGCAGCTAACGGGGTCCCTCAGAGGATAGAATCACCAAGAGAGAGGAGGTTTCTGTCACTGATAGTGACCACCATCGTTCTTATCTGCATTATTTTTTTTTTCTAGGATCCTAAGTTTGGCAAAATGGGACTTAGACTGGAGTCCAAGTTTGAGACGAGTTTCAAGGAAGTGTTTGCTATTCAGGAAACAAACGAAAAGAGTTGACTGAAATCAGAGTTGTGGCTGGTGTCCTGGCACAAGCTGCACATCTGGTCAGGTCTGCCCACCTGCAGCAGCAATGAGTGTTCTTTACAGACGCCATCATTCCCAGACTGTGGGGCTGTGGAATCCTGGGTGTTCGGCCACACCCCAGAACCCAGAGACCCAACATACAGACCCCTTGCCGTGTCACATAAGGCCCAGGTAGAGGGCGGGCTAACAGGTCACCCAAGCCCCGCCCCTCTCCCCCTTCTAATATAAGCAAACCCCTTCTGACATTTTGGGAGAGCGCCACCATCTAAACCCACCCATGTCAATAAATCTGGACGACTTTATTTCCACGTGTCTCTTGAAATCTTGGACTCATTGTGTAAGTCAAAACCCGAGCGGCGGAGTGGTGGGAGAGAGAAGCCTTTTCGCCAGCCCCAGTGCTCTCTGTGCTTTAGTGGCACGCAGGAGACTTTCTCCTGACAACGGCAGCCCCTGCACCGCCTTTGCAGGGCCCCATCAACAGAGAGTGCTGAGCTGTGGTCCCCGGTGCTCTCTCCATTCCAAGGGTCAAGGCTGGAGCCTGTCTCCAGCTGGCTTTGCTCTGCCCGCACCCCCTCCCACACACTCACACACATATGTTTCTTTCCTTATCTCCAACTCTCCTGAGAGCAATCCACAATAGACCATGAGTTCCAAGACTTCAATCCACATGGTGGCTCATTCCTGCAGTACCAGTCCTTGAGAAGCTGAGGCAGGAGGATAGCTATAAGTGTGATACTAGCCTGGGCTGCATAGTGACTCTCAGCTACCCTGGCTGATAAAGGTTTTGATTCTGGAAAAAAACAATCCACTCACCAAGTAAGGAAAAAAAGTCTCAATTCAGAATCTTTGTCCAGAGACCCACTGTAAGATAATGTCTCAGACACCAAGCCTCAGGGTGGGGTTCTAGAGTTGGGTCACTGTCCAACCAAAGGTGATTGGTGGAGTATCCGTAGGTCCTTAAGTGTTAAACCAGCACTGGGGCCAAATTTTACCCTATAGAAAGGCATTACACACCATGTGAGCTACACACAAAGTGGCATATTTGCTTGTGGATGGAAAGAAGGTCACCACAAGACTGATGGGGTCTGGTGACACTTGCTACGATGCGTTAATAAACGGATATGAGTTACTTAATCTGACAATCCCAAGTAGTCATGAGAAAAGAGTCCCTCACACCTGCAGCCATAAGTCAGACAGCAACAAAGGCATGTGCCTGTCCCTTGTGTTCAGAAAGATAGCACTCCAGAGAAGACTGTGTCCTAGGTTCAAGAAGTGACTTGTGCCAATGTCAGAGTCCTGAGACTCAAAGAGTGGGGCCATGAAATAGATATGTGTGAGGACTTTAAACCTGTTTCCTTGAACTTAATTCTCTGTGAGAGCATCCCTTTACTCTTTCTTGGAAGAAATAGCCATCTGTGTCCTCCATCTTGCTTGAATAAAGATTGGCCTCCCAGATTGGCTCAGTGAACAAACCAAGTATGGAACTGGAAGGCACATGAGAGGGGCTACACATGAAAGGAGCAACAAGCCCAGCAGATAGGAGAGGATAGGAGATTGTGTTTAGGTTTAGATATTGGATAAGGAAATCTGGAAAACTAGACTCGCTAACAGAGTTATCAATAGTTTAAATTATTTTATTGATTGTTCGTGTATTTCCCACTCAATCCCACTCATCTTCCCATCCCTTCCTATTCCCCTCCACCCTTGCAACCTCACTCCCCAAAGAAAACGAACAATGAAAAAAAAATGACAACAAGAACCATCTTGCCATGAAAGCTGCAGAGTGTCACAGTGTGTCACACAGTATACACATTTTCCAAAGAGCTTTTCTTGCAAACGTTCATTGCAATGAGTCACTGGTCTGGTTCAAAGTCTCTGGCTCTGCTCCATCATCAGTACTGGACCCTCCCCATGACACATCTCAGATATTTTGTTGTTTTCTTGTGTCATGGAGATCCTGCAGCTTTGGAAGAGTAGGACTGGTCTCTTCACATGGTCCAGGAGTTCATAGCTGGGGTAGATGATGAAGTGGATCAGGTCAAAGCCCTGTATCTGGTCCTGGGTAGTAGCTGAGTTGGTCAGCCTGCCAGCTCACCTGCACACATGATTTACTGACACTTCAATGTTCTTCTGTGCTGTAGAATCTAATCAATCTGGTGATGGCCAAGGGTCATGAATCTAGACTGTCCCTGGGCAGCTCCTATGTGTTCCTCATAGCTCCAGCACACTTTAATGGGGTGCTGCTTCATTAATGGAACCATGATCACAGACTCAGGGGTACAAACCTAACTAAAGTGGTGAGATGACTCTACTCTCTAGTACTAGAATATGGGTCTGTGAGGTGACTCTGCTACTCAAGGCCACTCAGTGGCATGAACTTAATGAAGTGATCAGGAACACATGGCTGGAATCATGAGCATCTTGGATCAGCTCTTCACTGGTGCTCTCTGAAGGATGAAATAATGGTGGGACCATCTCCCAGTTCCTACTTCCATAGCAAAGATTAGGTTCCAGATAACCAGAATCACTCAAATGTTGAGGCCAGATAAAGTGACTTCTGTGAAGAGACAGGCAGAGACCTTATTTGTCGGTATCTGTCAAGACCTAAAGCTGCTGAAGCCAGGACAATGGGGCAACCTACAAATGTACAACTTCATACATATCATCAAAAGGGTGGTAGGGAAAGAGGGCACATGGTAGAAGTCAGCTATTCTAATAAAAGCTGGGGGCAGAGGGAAGGCTGTGACCAGAATTCCTTGGAAAGTAGACAACTTAACGGATGTCTAAAACCAAATCCAGGCTTGATGCTATCCCTACATCTCCTTCCGCAAAGAAAAAGAACTCTCAGGCTTCTTAGAACATCTCTGACATCTATACTGTCAAGAAGGCTGCTACTAAGTCCAACAGAGTATGTAGTACGTCCATGTCTTTTCCACAGGTATGTTTTGTACTTTGCTGAAACTAGCTCATTCCTGTGAGCAGGAAAGCACAGGGGGGTTTGGTTCTGAGCTGTGTCTCTCCTCTCAAAGGCATGGTTCATGGCTGTGCTGGTCAGCAAAGGGCATGTCACCCTTGAGCATGTAGAAAACTCAGAGGACTTTGTCTGGATCCTCCCATACTTCCAGAATCAAGCTGACTATGGAGTGACCAGGACTCCTTTGCTGCTATTTGGTGAGGAATGAAGAAGCCTGTCTTAACTGTTGGTCACGAAGCTCCTGCCCACAAACTGTTACTCAGGCTGTGACTTTTGAAGCAGAAAACCCAAACAACCTGAGGCTTCTACAAAAGAAAGAACTCAGACAGGATTTGGGAGAGAAGTCAAAAGTTGGGAGGTAGCTAGCCCAGAGTTAACTTCCTGCTTCCCTTTGCCTGAACTTGGGAGCAAGCACAGCCCTGTTTAGGACAGAAAAAAAAAAGAAAGAAAAAAAACCAAACCCTTTGGCAGGAGGCTCTCTGGTGGGTATAGTCAGGTAAAAACATACAAACAAAACACAAAACAACCAGGGTCTGGAGAGTGAAGAGGAAATCTCTAAGAAAAAGAAAGCCCTGGGCTTGTCTGATGCCCAGGTGAACAGAATTCTGTCTGAATTGCAAGCTGAGCCTTGTGCCTCATACACAGATTGCTTGTAACCCAAGCCGTTACAATCACAGGTACCATCTGCTGCAACAATAGCCTAAATTCTGGCATAAGCAGGAGTTGGTCGGTAGCTGCCACCCCAATCAATCTTGACCATGAGTCAGCCTGCAGAACCCAAGAACACTTTTATCCTGCCAAGTGCCATCCAAACCATCTGTCCCATGATGCTTCTGTTCATATCTTTAGTCTTCCATCTGACATTCAACATCTTCCAAGATTGCCTGAAAATTGAAGTTTCCCCACTCCTGAAACCTTTAGTCTACCTTGTTTTGAAGCCATGTTGTGTGATTTTCCCAAGCGTGACAGCCAACATTATATGCTATCCGTTTTAATTACTGTGTCAAAGAGATCTGTGAAGCAAGAATGCCTCTGTGAAACTAGACACATGTTTCTACTCCCCTACACAGGTTTGTTTGCCCTGATTGCATGTTGGCCTTATGGGGCCATCCATTTAAACCTCTGTGAAATTCGCCATTTTTTTTGTGAGCCCAGGAATAGACCTGGCCCAAGTCCATCATTTTGGACAATATCAAAGCTTGCTTCCAATTTGGTTCAAAATTATGGTAGTCATCTTATGCTCACCCCGGGGGATTAACACAAGGCCAGATGTTCTAGATTCTGTATCAAAAATTTTACCAAGATGGGAACTAGGGTGTATGGTGTTCATGGAATGGGGAGACGCTGTTGTAGCATTCTTCTGGAGCTGCTTTGGGGTAAGTAGGTGTAGCAACATTCTGTTCTCTGTGTACCTCACCTCCCACGAGTTACACTTGACTGAGGAGCTTGGCCTTAGGGTCTCAGGAGCGCCAGTCAGACACAGGACAATATAGTGATAGTTCTTCTCTCTCTGTGTGTACTCCTCTTGGTCCCTAAGAAGAAACTGAACCAGCAACATGTAGACATTGGATTCGCATGGACACATTAGCTTTGAGATGCTTTTGCAAAGTCTTGTTACTTAGAGTCCTGCAAAATCATCTAAAAATATTTTATTCCTGATCGAAGTAGAGATGGAAACATGACTAACATGTGGGCACTAAAAGGAGCCCAAAGTCTAACCTTAGGCATGGCCTCAGGCTGCTCTTGTCAGTCATACCCACTCCAGCTCCACACCAGCCTATCCCTGTGCATGGGAGCTAAGGGATGAGAAAGAGCCAATGTCTGTGCAGGCAAGAAGACTGCTGGGAGACCTGTCAGAGTAGAGGCTTACCTCAGTCCACCAAGTCCCTCAGAGAAAGTCCTCCCAGAAGAAGGAATGGAGAGGGACTTGATATATCCAGATGATCCATGAGGGGCCTCCTAGAAAGACTCACTGGAGGTGACAGCTCACACTACTTTCACATCTGCACCTCAGAAGGGTGGACCAGGTCTTTGTCCCCATGCCTCGGGGGCCATTGTTGCAGCTTCCTCCTGCCCTTGGCTTGTAGGCTGGGATGACAAGTCCTCAGAGACAGTGCTCTGACCCAGTGTGTCTATGGAGTTTAGGGATCTCCTCAGCCCCAGATCTGAGGAAATCTTGTCCTGATCAGGATCCAACTCCTGGTTCTCCTGCTGGCCTGAGGGATACCTTGCAAGTGCTTGCCCTTCCTTTCCTGCTGTCACCTTACCCAAGTCACTTCAGCCAGGGACATGACAACCAGCCCTGAGGCATCCATGCTCCCCTCCTAGACACAG